ACATGGCAGACCCACGGTCTTCGGACCTGCGATTTGGTCCAGCTGCACCGTTGCCTTGAGCTCTGCGCCGAGCCGCTGCGGGACCGCATGGCCGGGCGCCCGGGCGACGTTTTCTTGGAGCGCGTAAGGAAGCGCCTGCGCGAAAGGACCCCGAAAAAACCCCGAATGGGAGACGCCCAGTTTTTGATTTTTTCTCGGAAGGTGAGGAAGAGAAGAGGTGGCCTGTTGGCGAAAGAATTCCCCTGTCAGCGATCAGCGATTCGGCCCAGACCTCGGCTCGTTCGGTGTGTGTGTGTGTGTGTGTGTGTGTGTGTGTGTGTGTGTGCGTGCGTGCGTGCGTGCGTGCGTGCGTGCGTGCGTGCGTGCGTGCGTGCGTGCGTGCGTGCGTGCGTGCGTGCGTGCGTGCGTGCGTGCGTGCGTGCGTGCGTGCGTGCGTGCGTGCGTGCGTGCGTGCGTGCGTGCGTGCGTGCGTGCGTGCGTGCGTGCGTGCGTGCGTGCGTGCGTGCGTGCGTGCGTGGGTGGGTGCGTGGGTGGGTGGGTGGGTGGGTGGGTGGGTGGGTGGGTGGGTGGGTGGGTGGGTGGGTGGGTGGGTGGGTGGGTGGGTGTGTGTGTTTGCAGCTTTCAGGCTCATCGCAAATGAGCACTCAATAATGAACCGTGGGCCTCTCAAGAGTGTGGGAATGGCCCACTTCCATGCAGTGACGCGGATTTTTCAGAGGAAATGGCAGCAAGCGATCGCGCAAGGGGGGGAACGCCCGGCCCAGGGCTTTCAGAGCAGAACAAAGACGAGCCACCCAGTTTGTTGTTGCAGTCCTTTGAGCTCGTTGGATGTCTGTCTATTGGGTGTCGAGCCGCGACCTGTGTGTGTGGGTCGCAACATTTCGCGGAGCCCTCAAGCTGGAATCTTTTTTTAGTTTGGTTCCCCTTGAAACCAGCCTGAAAGGTGTAGCTCACACCCAGAGTACCCTGCATTGCTCGGTGTCTCTTTCATGTTTTTTGTTTACAGCTGGTGTGGTCTTTCCAAGGTCTCATCATGTCCGCCAGTGCCGCATGTCAAGGGAAAGGTATGCCTGACCCTCAAACCGCCCTTATAACAGGGAGATCACTCATAATTATGGAGCAAGACCCAATTTTACATAACAGCCTAAATAAGTAGAATGGGGTTGTGTGGCAGCTTTGAAGCGAAAGTAAGCTATGATCACAAGATAACAATGGGTCTACTTATGTTGTTCTCCTTTTCTTGCTGGTTCTCCGGGAATCACCAGGGCCTGAAATCAATCTCGGGGTCTTGAGGGAAAGCGTGGCGGGATGGTTAGGGTCCAATCAGGTTTTGTGGTAGGGACTATGCGCGTGTGTTTTAGGGATGGGACCTGGGATTGTCCCTTGAGCAACCGAGGGGTACCAACTCCAAAAAAAGAAACATCGAGCCACTCGGAGCAACTGACGCGTTTGTGTTTTGCTCCCAGGTGGTTGGCACTCTGCTCTGGCTCGCAGCTTGGCGCGAAATCACAAACTCGGTCTTTGAGAGTCGTTTGGTTTTGCGGGTTACTCGGTTTACTTACATTTGCTTCAGGATGTTGTTTGATTCCCTTTGGGAAGCTATGGAAATCCATAGCTACAGTTTTTTTCCCCAGGCGACGTAGCCGCAAAGGAAAGTTTAGGCTCTTCTGAAGGGAAGCCAGAGAAAAGGCAAAGGGGGGAAAGGGAAACTGCAGGGGAGACTGCCTGACGATACTTGTAGAAGGCATCAGGCAAAAGCGTTTGGTGGTTGATTTGGATGGGAACATACTGGCACACAAAAGTACACGTGTTTGATGACTATATGATCATAAGCATAATATACACACCATCTTGAAACCTGTATTTTGCATTTACCCAACGTGCGTTTCTAGCGCTCACAGACAGTTAGGCAATGGGCACTTCTCAAGACCTTCGATGCACTTGAGAGGGTCCTTTACATGCAAAGTGGACACGGCAGAGGGTCCTTGTGCCTTATGCAGATGTTGACCCTTGCAACAAGCATGCAACAAGCATGCCCGGAACCAAACCCTCCACTTGTTGGTATCAGGGTGGGGCAAGTGTGGTTTAAGCGATCCTCAGCCACGAACCGAACCCGATTAAAGCGATGGTTAAGAAGTAACAGTTGCTTAGGCATGTTTTAACAGGTATCTGGCCCCACTTTTGGGCGGATTGAATCCTGAAGATCATTATCATATGGGTCTTTGAGGGCACTGGTTGTTTGATGGTTTCCAAGAGGAGAAACCACACCTTCTTTTTCAGGGGGTTCCCTAAAGACAGGCAACCCGATATAGCGATCTCGCAAAGGGGTAGGATTTAGGTGCCTTTCTTGCACGGTGAGTTACGATTCCTCCAGATGCCTTTTGATGGCCTGTGCTCAGCCGCTCAGCGCCTTCGCCGCCGTTTTCGCCGCGCGCAACGAGGCTTTGCGTGTTACATGGGCATCCGAAATCCTTCTCATGCCATCCAACTGAAATGGAGTGTCAGTCCCGAAAGGCCTATCTCTATAAGCAAGGAAGCAGAGATCACGGCTGCAGCCTGGAAAAAGAACACGCCCCCTTCATGCACGCGAGGGGGTCTGGCAATTGGAAGACGCACTCACCCGCGTTCCAGACGCGATTTTTGGGGTCACGCAGCGCAGACAGAATTCGCCTCGAGAGCAGCTGACGATCTCCGTTCTCTCCGTTCTGTGGGGCCAGAAGTGCCCAAAACCGCGCCCCAAAGCCGCCATGTCGAACTATCAGATTCCGATGTCGATCACGGTGAACGTGATGAGCGGCTCTTCGGAAGCTCGGCCAAATGTCGGACGCTGAACATCCGGGGCCTCCAAATTTTGTTGATTTTCGCGTTTTGCGCAAAGAACAGGTGGACCCCATTTTTCAGTTAGAGCCTCCAGGTTGCTTTTGGGGCGGTGGGAAGTGCTTGGTGCCAGGGAACCCCTAGAGCCTGAGCTCGAGGTGTTTCGGAATGTGCTGGATGAAAACCAGACTGCTCAAAATGAGTTGAGAATTCAGGCAACCAAAACTGGCCCATGATTTTGACTCAAAGTCACCCTCTAAGTGATTGGGTAAATGGAAACACCCACGGTTGCTGGCTTTGATAACCCTCAGAAACAGTCAAAGCAACCATGGCAGTTCGCTTTGTAGCCTGGCCCAGACAAAGGAGTTCTGACTCATGTGAGGGTTTTCGGCGCTGGCGAATTTTCCTGGCCATTCAGTTGCCCGAGTGACAAGATCGGGAGTGAGCCGATGTGGGAATCGTGAGATTAATTTCTCGGACAGTGCTGAACAAATGCCGGTACCACGCCAGCAAACAGTTAACCTTGAACAACTCCCAGCCATGCTAATGCGGATTTTGGCTGTCAATGCAGACACGAGGAATAGTCCTTGGTTCCATTTACAGGCTTCCATTTTGGGCACATATGTTTGACCCACAGCCATGTGGATTTTTGCTGATGCAGACACAAGGAACGAGGATGACCTATGGCTCTGTTGTTGTGCACTCATTGGGTCCCGTTTGGCAAAGCTTTCGCTCAGAGGCCACTGCTGGCACATTCCAACGTGTTGGACTCTGACAGGGTTGGGCGATTCAGGTTTCGCTTGTGAGGACCAGAGTCTCAGGGCTGCTTGAAAGGTTCACCTTGGCCATTTAAAACGTTACCTTTTCCCGTGCAGCAGCAGGAAAGCGGCCATTTTCGGGGGGAGCTTTCAGAAGCATCGAGGCACCCTGAGTCCTGAGTCTGGCTGAAACACATCATGGTTGTTGTTGGGAAACATTTTACATTTTTGCTTATTGTGGTTTAGTGGGAAGTCCGCACTGAACTGCTAACCATTTTTTGTTGCTTCCCTTCCAACGTCAAGCAAGACATGCAACCAGCCCATTGGAGGTGTTTGCCAGCCGAGGTCCATGTAAAGGTGTACCCAGACACCACCATCAACGAGCTTCGCCGCGGCGCACAACAAAGGCCTCAGCATAAAATCGCTCAACAAAAAACGTCCGGGGAGGACTTTTGGCAAACCCTGAGCGAAGTCTTTTGGCCTTCACCAGTGGACTTGTGGCGGGTCCAAGTCTGGCCCAATTTAACGGAAACCGGGGATGCTTCTGTTGGTCATTCCAACTCATTTACCAGGGCTCCTTAAAAGATACATTTTGAAACATGTGGCTTTTTCCGCCGAAACAAAGGGAAACCAGCATTTACAGGTTGCAATGTTCAGGTGTTTTTCATGTATCCGGATCCCTGTTTACCTATCGAGCCAAGGTTGAGAGTCGCCGATTCGAAGCCATAAGCAGTTTCCAGCCGGGCGGGTTCTGAGAGAATTCGAGGTATGTTTTGGATCGGGACATTTGGGCCATGCTTTGCGGATTCGCAGGGAACCCAAACAAGGCATCGAATCTCCAAGCTTGATGGCTTCTGTGGTTCCATCTTCATCTGCAGTGTTTTTTAACTGAAAGCCCGCGATGTTGTCAGGGAATCCCTCACAAACCTACGATTCTGCAAAAATATGTCAGGCTCGGCGGAGAAAAGCAGCAACCATACCTATCATGATCCTTTGAAGAAGGGACATACTGTTTGGACGGTTTTGGTTGCAGTCATTCCACTCGTTCCCAGCTCAGGACAGGGGGTATATATCTAGTCGGACTCATTCACAAACTTACCCCTTGACATTGGCTGGGGACCGTGGTTTTGGGTTGCTGGTGATTTGTCAGTGCAAGCTTCATGTTGTTTTGTGGTTCATTTCCCGGAATACTTGCTTTCCCTTGCCGCGCCTATCAGTCTTTTCAATCTGACCCATGAACACATCAAGCTCCTGCCCTCGTTGAAGGAAATCTTGTGGTTACCAGATGCGAAGCCTCGGATAAAGCATGGGTGTGTCTCAAAATAGGTGTACCCACATGTTTTTTTCTTTTAGCTTCCCCTTCAACCAACCCCAAAAGGGGGTCCCCCACTAAAAATGCAGATCCTGTGGGGCCAACCCTTGGGCATGTCGTTGGGGGTTCGGACTGAGTCCTGTCACGGCATGAAAGCCTGGCTGGAACTTCGACTGGGCCCAAAGGAGCAAATGGGATGGTGTCCACCCTTGGTGGTAAAAAAACCCTGGCCCGCAACACAGGGGCTGTACACTTTGCATGCTGGTTGTGTCGCATTAAACCTCCGGGGGGGAAGCGGTTTGTTCGTGGAAGCTGTTGTAGATTGTTGGTTGACAGTACGCTTTTCGGGTGTTCTGAAGGGCAACCGGAGCACGCCACCCACCCCCTCGGAACCCCAAGGAAGCAAACAAGTGCGCTTTCTGGGTTGGACGCATGCATGCTGCCGGGGGCACTTTAAAGATGATATTAGGATTCCAAAACCCGCCTGAATCCCGATAGTCCTTCCCTCCCGACAGGAAGCAGACAAAGGGGTACCCTCCCGCAGCCTCAGTGGGAGGAAGGGCTTAGGTCATTTTGTCAGGGTTGGTAATCACCCTTGGAATATGTTGTCAATCACTCTTGTTTTAACTGCCTCCTTTTGGTTTCGCTTCTTTGGGGAGACCATGGTCTGGTTCAACACCCCCCCCACCTCCCCCCCCCCTCCAACCCCCCCAAAACCCCCCTCCCTCCTCCTCCCCCCAAAAAAAAGAACGTGCGAACTGCGCGACGTGGGGTCCAGGCTGCGGATGGGCCTGGTGGCTTTGGTGAACCAGGCCGGCACCTACTTGGATGGCATGAGCAGCCTGCGGCAGGCGCGAGGGGTTTGGGGAGGGTTTGGGGGGTTTGGGGTTTGGGCAGTGAGACCTGCTGGTTCGTTGGAATGAGTTGGAGTGAGTTGGAATGAATAGGCATGAGTTGGAATGACAAACATCTTCCAACTGGCTCGCTGAAAGGGACTCGCTGACCAGGCAATTGGAGGGGAGGAGGGGGACAGTGCCGACCAATGGCTGCGGCAAGAAGTCGCTTTGATTCTGACTGCGCTCAGTTTCTCTGCTGTACCCAGACCTTGAGAGAGACAGAAGGAGACAGAGACAGAGACAGAGACAGAGAGGGTGAGAGAGAGCGAGAGGGAGCGAGAGAGAAGAGCAAGAGTCGGCGGTTTGTCAAGACGACGCCCTCCAGTTCGTTGAGTGCTTGACATCCAAGCCTTCGCTCAAGAACATCCCACGAGCCAGGGCTTCACGCATTCACATGCAGGGGGGTAAACGAACCTGGAAGACCATTGTCGGAAACGGGTAACACTCTGGTGGGCTCAGGGCTTCTTGTACTTCCATTTTCTGAAACTGATGTTTTTGTTTTTCCCTGTGGGTTTGAAAGGGAATTTATCCCTACTGGACATATGTTCTAATTTTGTCCAGGAGACGTCTTCGCAAGCGGAGGACTTGATTCTTTTGCACAGAAAGTGGTCCGCAAATGGAGGTTATGATAAATGATAAGTGCGTTTAGCTCTTAAAGCGTTCGACGCCTTTTCCAGCGGAACAAAAGCAAACCGAAGGCGTTCAGGTGAACAAAATAATTATATTTTGAGCAAGGTTGCGAGCGAGATTGGCCTTGTGTAAGCCATGTTTGAAACCATGTTTGAAACCACTGGACTTCTTGAACCACCTCCTGTGGCTTGCCTTTGAAGAGGACCAGGGGTGGTGTTTAATCTCCCCCAAAACCCCCCCAACACCGCAACCGAAACCTTCCCCTTGCCCCCTACACCCAAGATCCCCACTTTCTTCAGGGAAAAATGCGGATGTCAAAGTCAACCGACAACTGAAGTTTTATTTACCCATGGAAAAAAGGCCTAACCGACAGAAGTTTTCTTTGCGGGCCATGGACCAGCCTTTCTCCTCAAGTAAAGACGGGTCTTCGGGGCGGCTCGAATTTTTCATTGCATCGATCCCCAGCTGCGACCAAGTGAAGCGATCCGAGCAGAGGCGGGGCTTCGGGACAAGGAGACCATCACCGGGGTAGCGCGCAAGGCGCAGATCTACAGCAGCCGCTGGGCGCTTCCGCTGGGCTTCAAGCCACTACTCACCTGGGTTTCCCCCCAGCTAGGTGCCCTTTTACCTTTTCTTGGGGAGGGCTTTTTCTACTGAAATAGACAGAAAAAAGAGTGGGTACCCTTATTCTAAGCCCCTTTTTGGAGGACCTAGACTCCGTTGGAACCCGGCGATGCTCTTGTTGGGTGGGCTGGGCGGCGGCTTTGGGCTAGGGGTCCAAGAAGTCTCTGCTTTTTTTTTGGCTTTTGATTTTCAAGGGCTCCGAAGTGTTAAAAGGGTTTCCAAGAGGGCTCTGCTTTTTTTGATGCTTTTGACTTTCAAGGGCTCTGGAGCTAAAACTGGGCTGAAGGGAGTCACGACCACCCCCTCCCCAGTTCGCCGCCCCGGGGATGATTTGTGAGCCGAGCAAACTACCCGTTGAAAGTGGGAAATATCGCCCCGTGCCCAAAAAAGATCAACCTGGAGTCTCCACGACCCCTAGAAAAAGGGGTCATAACCCCTTAATTTTGGGTAATGACCCCATTATGAAAGCGTCATGGAGACTCCAGGAACATGGAACCCAGAAAAAGACAAACGCTTTTGTAGAGGAAACTCCCCTGTTGGGGGCACCCCCCCACCTTTTGGCTTTCTTCCGTGAATTTATGGAGGAGTAATGCGCCACAATGCATGATGCCCCAGAACTTTGGGCGATTGCCTCAGTTCAATTTGAGGGTAGCTTGAGGGTCTAGGCAGTGCGATCGCCTCAGCAGAACCGGGGGAGAAAGGGGAGGTGCCCCTCTTTCAGAAGTCTTCTTTTCCAACGCGAGGTTCCATTTCCTACAAGAACCGAGTCTTTCATTGGTCCAGTCTGAAACGGAACGGATGACATGCCCCTCTTGAATTCTAGAAGGTTCCATCCCTTTGCCCAGACTCAAACTGGGCTGATTGGACTTGTCCTGTTCACACAGCAGCTTCTTTCCAAAAGCCCGTCATTGAAGCCCCGAAAGAATCTGCAAGACTGCTGTTATAGACATGTTTGTTCTTAAGCCGGGCAAACATGGGTGTGGGTCAAAATTAAACCACCAGGAATTGCACCGCAGTTTTTAGTCCATGTTTCCATTAACCAGGGCTCCATTTTGAGTACCAACCTTTTTGACCCACAGCCAGCTGATTGGACGACACTTTGTCCATTTCCGGCGGGCCGAGGCAGGATGTCCAAAGCTTTTGCCCTGATCCGCATCTCCGGCAGTGTGGTCACCTGGGGCGAAGCTCGAGCCGCGAAAGTCCGCCAAGGGGGGGGGACTGGGGAGGGGTTGGGGAGGGGTTGGGAGGGGGTTGGGGGAGGGACTGGGGAGGGGTTGGGAGGGGTTGGGGAGGGGTTGGGGAGGGTTGGGGAGGGGTTGGGGAGGAGTTTGGGAGGGGTTGGGGAGGGGTTGGGGAGGGGTTGGGGAGGGGTTGGGGAGGGGTTGGGGAGGGGTTGGGGAGGGGTTGGGGAGGGGTTGGGGAGGGGTTGGACTGCGGAGTTGACGCAACAAAACCTCTGTGGGCTCAGCCCTTCGTCTTTCTTCTGTTTAATCCGGCCATTGGTGAGATCGCCAACCCATAGCTGTCCTTTTTGGTTGCTTTGGTGGAAAAATAGATGGCGATTCCTGGTTTACCTGGTGGTTTAATCATCTACCAGGGCCATCTATTACCCAAAAAGGGCACCTCTGTCGCCAACAAGTTGCTCAGTTCCCTCATGTCAAGCAACGGATAGTATTGACTGGCATCTTCTGCAATAGGGGCAACTTGGGATGAATCCAATCGGACCGTGCTAGTCAGGGATGCTTCCCCGTTTTGGTTTGGACACGATCTATTCTAGAGGGTTCCTTTGACTACACTAAGAATGCCATTGGACAATGGGGGTTACTTACTCACCACATTTGCGAGAGGCACAATGAATATTGACCGTGCCTCACATGAGGAATGTTTGAGATGTGAGTTGGACATCACCTTTTAGTGTGTTTGAAGGGCACCTGTGCGGTTTGAGGTGCAATTTAAAGTTTGCTTTTGGCGTGTAAGACATAAATTCAGTGACCAGGGGTTGATTCCTTGTCCATTCTTTTCAACCATCCTTCTTTTCAAGCACCGATCGCTGTCGTCCCTCGGCATTTTGGGTGGTCCAAGAATCGCATTCCTGTTTGCCTGGAGCCTCTAATAAAGGAGCAAAAGGGACGCTGGCGATCCTGAACAACTCAGCCAACCGGGAAAGACAAAAAAAAACGCGACCCCCGAAACCCTCAAAGAAAAAGGTCGACGTGTTTTGTCCCGCAAAAAGGTCCCGTCAAGCCTCGCGTTTTTTGGCTGGGTTTCAGGTCGACATGTTTCCCCCAGGTCCCGTTCCGTCACGCCTCGCATGCCTCGCGTGCCGCCTGCCATGCGTGGGTCGAGCCTCGCTGAGGACCTGGACTACGGGGGCGACTGCAGCGAGGTGGCCGGGCAACTGTCGGACGTGCAGCAGATCTTTTGCTCCGAAGGCCGGGCTGGGCTTCTCTTTTTTAATGAAATTGTATTCTATAATTGAACCATTAATAATATTTATATTTATCAAGCTTATATTGTATGTTATCTTAATTATCCAATATTTAAAATCCACATGACCCCCGAGTCAATCCTATTTCAAACGTTAGACATTCAACGGAGCCGGTGGCGCTGGCGATGAGAAGCCGGGAGTTCCGAGTGTTTTTTTGTTGTTCAGGGAAGCCCAAAGAGGCAGTTTTGACGGAAACCAGATTCTTTTTGGTTCCCCAAAGACACATCTGAGGGACATTCCACCAATTCGGGGGGGTAATTCCAGGTGGGAGGTCCAATGGAACCAGACCTGAATCAAAGATGTCCGAACATTTCGGGGACAACAGCTGAGTCACTTGTTTCGCCTCCAAGCTTGCCCGGTTTTTCGTGTCCAACACGCGATTGTTCACTCAGGAATTTGGACTTTTGAGTTTGGCTCCACTCAGGAAGTGAGTTTAGGCGCCACTGGACGCCACTGGACGCGACTTGGAACTCGGGAACGGCACTTCTCCAAGCGCCTTTCGGGTGTAGAATCCATCCGAAAGAAACCCGAGAGCCTGTGAGAATGCGAAAAAAAAGGCGATCTTGATATCATAGTAGGTGACGGACGAAATCCATTCCGCATCTCTTTGAAACCATGGGAATCCAATTCGTTGCTGGTTTTTACAGGAGAATCGAATCATTTTAGGGTTTCTTTGGTGGTGCGAAATGAGGCACAGTAGTAGGTGACACAAATATTTGCTTCTAGGTATTGCATGCTGGTTTCCCTGGGTTTTCTGTATGCTTACCTGGATCCGCATCCGTCAAAGAACGATATGAAGAGCAAGAAAGGGGACAACAAATCGCAGAGTCGACAAAAAAACGCTTTTGTGTTTTTCTTTTTTTGACCTGTCCACTTTACCCTGTCTGCATTTCTATGTTTCGGTGGTGTTCTACGTTTGTACTTTCCTTACCCCTCTTACACTTCTTACACTTCTTACTCTCCTTGCTCTTCTGACCTTTCTTCGTTGCTTTATTTTGAAAAACACTTTTCTGATCTTCTTACTTTCGCTACTTTCTACAGTTTCTGCTGCCTGACCACATTGCATTTCTTTACTTTTTCAGAAGGGGTGGAGTGGAGTGAATGGACATCCTGCGTGCTTGAGAGGCGGTGGAACAAGCGATGCAAGCCATGGCATATGCAAGGCTATGGAATATATGAAGATGCATATCTCGCTGGGTCTTAGGGGCGAGCAAATGAGCAACGGTTTATCTCTTCATCTAACGAGCAAACGAGCGAATGGGAGGTTGCAAGCACCTGCAGGATGTGAAAAATGATTGGGGGGCATGGACGAAATCCCACACCAGTTGATGGGTGGTTTTTAAATCCGTTCATCTCAGACGGATTTCGTCCATGGGTATTGTACATTTTGTGAAATTGTCTTTTTTGGGGGGGCCCCTCAAAACGGGATCCGGTTTTCTGAAACAGAAAATCAAGCCACCCATTTCAAGCGAGGTGGGTTTGCCACTCCCAGGGCACGCATCAACTTCGTCTCGCATTTGCTTCGACCAGGTTGAGGGCAAGGGATCACCCCCATAGCGGTTTCACAAACAAACATTACCTCTTAAAAGTGCCAGAGGGAAGCGTGACCAAGCCCGGAAGAAAACACAAGTATCAAAAGGAGGCTTCGACATGGCACGCATGTAGATGGCTGGCGGACAGGCCGTGGCTAGATGGCTGGCGTGTCCCCTGTCAGTCTTGCAGTGCAGTCTTCAGACTGGAGGATACCCCGCTCAAAATATGACATGTGATCTGCAGAAGTAGCTTCAGTCAGTTCATTTCCTCATTCCTTGCCTATCGCCCCCAAAGTGTCCACCTCCGCCCGAGAGGCGCCTTCGCGGCGTTGACCCACGACGGGCGCGTGGTCACCTGGGGCCACAGGCCCTGGGGCGGCCAGAGCTGCAAGGTGCGCATCGCATCGGATGGGATGGTTTGCCTCGTGGTTTTCCTTGGTTTTGAGAGGCTGCTCTCTGAAAAAACGAGGAGTTCCTGACAAGACCAACAAATACACCAAGAACCATGCGGGTGGTTGGGTTCCTTCGTTTTAAGAAGCTCTCTGAAAAAAGGAGGAGAAACACATGCAGGTGGTGAGATTTGTTTTTTGAAAAGGAGGAGAAGCAAAAGACCCAACAAATACCAAGAAGCCCAAACCCCTGCGGAGTTTTTTTTTGATTCCTCCAGACCATGTCCTAGGGGCTTGCCACCCGGAAAGTCGTAGTTTCATTCCTGAGTTCCCGGACTGGAGTAGGAAGGTATGGTGCGGAATTTTCATCATTTTTTTTTCCGGTATGAGACAAAACATTCGTTTCCTATGAGCCATTCACCGTGGTAACCTCATCCAATCCTCTCTGGGATCTACGAACATGCATTTCACTTAGGCCCCAAGAGACTAAGAAGATGTGGAGGGCTTCTCAAAACATCCCCACGGAGGTCCTTCCAAGGACCTGTCCCTAAAATGCCCCGCAAGCAAGCGCTTCTTCTTTTTCAGCACGGGTGCTTCCATCAACCTCATCCTGAACCCAACTATCTGTCCTGCCTTTCTTGGGAATTCGCTTTCGGGCCCAACCTTAGTTGGTGTAACAGTGTAGAGGCTTGGGAAACCAAGCCCGGAGCACCACCAAACCGATTCGGCTCCACACCAACTAGGGGGGACGCTGCGTTCTTCGTTTGGGGGGATCGGCTCTGGTCAGCAGTCAGCGAGGGTTCCGGAGGGGGCCTTTTTTTCATGCGAGGTGATGTAAACCACCAAGCCCCATCTTCCCCCCCCATTTCATCTTCACCAAGCCATCTTTTGTCTTTTTCTTCTTTTGTTTTTTGGGGGGGGGGGGCGCCAAACCATCTTTGCTTTTTGTTTTTTTGGGGGGAGGGGAAGGCCCGCAGAACCGCAGACCCGAAGAACCAGACTTCGATCCGTTTCGCTCCTTCCCGAAACATCGGCTCCTGACGCGCGCAGGTCCGGCAGCAGCTGCACTACGTACGGCAGGTGACAGGCCGGGCCCAGATTGGAAGAAACCACCAGCTTCTTGCACCTTTACTTTGGTGCATTTTGCCCAGGGATGTTAGGACTTCAACTTTTTGCCAACCCCATTTTTTTCCGTATGAAACCACTAAAAGTTGAAAACTTTTAGCGGGGCAGACACATGTGTGTTTTTCCAGGCGACTCAAGCACACGGAAGTGACGGTTGTGGTTTATGATGGTTTGAACAGTTTGGTGGATTCAAAGGGGTCGGCAACCAACGCCGGCCATGTCTCTTCTGTCATAGCGCCCAAACTATGCGCGTTCATGGTCATTGGCCCAGGATTGTCATAGACCCTTTGGGGACTTCAGACCGATGGACGGATTCCTGAAGGAACCATGATCATATTCGACAAAAAGAATGGGCCGTGTTCTCTGGCTCCCTTCAGAAGCAGAAGATAAAGCGATTTGCCTTGTGGTCAGGGGCCTGCTGTCTTCAAAGGAGAAGAACAAGACCTGATTGCTTTGGGTTTAGGAATTTAGACCAAGGGGCGTGGCTTGGTTTCGTCTAGGTGAACCCAATTTCAATCTGGTCTTTTTGGCTTCCCAACCTCATGAAGGGGATACCTAAAAGAACCAAATTCCCAAATGTGCGTCGATTCGTGGTGCCGAAGTGGGTCACGTTTGGGTTGCTTCCTTCCTTAAATATTTTAAAATAAAAAAAACCCACAAAAAAACATATAAATAGAGAGAGTTGCCCCCATCGAAGTGTGCTTCAAGGGATGTCGGCATATCTCTCTGGGTGGTTCGAAAGGGAAGCCACAAATACGAAACCATGGGAAACCATTGTTGTTGGTATCAGTGGAATCATCATTCTAGGGTTTCTTGGGTGGCGGGCGGGAGGGGGGGGGGGAAAACCGCCGGAGAAAGACGCCGGAGACGCAGCGCAAAGCGGCAGGCAACAACTTCGCCTTCGCAGCGCTGCGGGGAGACCAGACGGTGATCACGTGGGGCTTGGACCCCTATGGCCGTGGCCTGAGTTGCTGAGGGGCTTGGGTGGGTAGGGTGGTAGGTGCTTAGGTGCTTAGGTGCTTAGGTGCTTAGGTGGGTAGGGTGGGTAGGGTGGGCTGAGTGGCTTCTATTTGCTTAGGGATGTTTTATGGCCCGGTGCTTAGGTAGATGCTTGTAAAGCAACAGTAAAGGATAATTGCACAACATTGCCTAAAATATGTACAGTAGTATTATCAATTGAACAAGATATGGAAGCACCATTTGTTTTATTATGAACTAGATAGATTTGATCAAACTCATCGAAGATAGGGCTTAGGTGCTTGGGTGGGCTGAGTGGCTTCCAGTTGCTTATAAGAATATGTTTTTTTTTTTTTTTTTAATTTGCCCCTCTTGGTTTTAAAGGGAACCTAGCACTACTGGACATATTTTTTATTTTTATGTCCAGGGCAAATGGAAGGCGGGATTAGGGTGGGTTCAGGGCGTGGGGTTGGGGGTTTTGGTTAGGTGGGTTTAGGGTGGGCTTAGGGTTTAGGGTGGAGGTAGGGGTGCCTCCCCATTTGGGCGAGCAGAACACCGGAATTGGTGGATGCCCTTAAATGTTCCTTGAACGAAATGCTGGTTTTCTTGAGGGCCTTTCTTTTGGTTTAAAGGAGAACCACCAGCAGAGCCAGCAACTGGGTTTCATATTTTGCCGCCTATTCCCCCCGTTTCCGAGGCGGTGACAGCCGCCACGTGCGCGACCAGCTGGTGAGCATTAAGGCGGGTCCCAGGAAAAGGGAGCATTCCCCGATTCCCCGATGTGAGCCACGCTCAAAACCGATTCGGGGATTGATGACGGTTAAGGGACACTCCCAACCATAAATAGCTGCGGATATATCCGCCTTCTTAGTTCTTGAAGCGTGGTTCTGGGTGGACCATTTTTAGTACCGGGTTTTGAGTGTGGCTCATGTGTCTTTTCCCAGGGGCTTCCTTGGAAACTTTCAGGCACGAGCTTCGATTGTGAAGCTTCCGTTTGTTGAGGTGAACATTTGTGATGTCCCCCTCTTGGTCTTTAAGGTAATCTTTCACTACTGGGAATACGTCCTATTTTCCAGCGCGCTTGAGCAAATGGAAGGAAGTATCGCATAATCTGCCAGGAGTTCTGCGAAAAAAATGGCAAGGAGTTCTGCGTCCAACAGAAGTTGAGTTTCCCCGATTTCCAACAGCCTGGAGTCTCCATGACCCTTAACAAATGGTTGGTCATTACCCAAAATAATGGAGTCGTTGACCCTTTTTGTAAAGGGTCATGGAGGCTCCAACAGCACGCGAGGGTGGGTTGAACATCAGCCGCTGGGACATGAGGCACAATCAAAACCTGGGTAGATGAAGGTTACTAAGGGACGATCCCAACCATAAATAGCTGCGGATATCCGCCTTCATCCTGTACATGGTTCTAGGATTGCGACCATTTCAGTACCGATCCGTTTTGATTTTGACTCACTTTGGTACCGCAGGGGTTGTTATCCACATTGGGATGTGAGGGCATTCGTCGCTGGCCGAGTCGTTCAAGATCCTGCCAGATGGTTTTGAGCAAGTGACTCCTCCTTGACTGCTATTGGGTTGGATCTTTCGACTTTAACTTTTTGGGAAATCAAGGGTTTTCCACTAAACCCACAAAAATTGCTCAACTTTTTGCAGAGGGGTCGTTGCAGCAACCAAGACTCTGGGGTGCTGTTTCTCGTGTTCGGAGGCCATCTACGCCACCTCCTCTGCCTTCGCAGCCCGGCGGGGGGACGGCAACGTGGTGAGCTGGGGCGAGCCGCGCCAGGGCGGCGACACCCGCCAGGCGAGAGACATTTGTCCGGAGGAGGGTTGGCGCTCGGGTCTCTTTTTCTGAAGGCTTTCCGATTTCCGGAGGGTTGTTCAGTGTCTCCCTTTTTCTTTCTCCAACTTTTCTTGGCTTTTCTTGAGGCTTTCCGGAACAGTTGTTCGTAGTGTCACCGAGTCTCTTTCTCCAACTTTTTCTTTTGGTGGCCCCACTAAAATGGCCCAAGCCCCAAAAAAGGGGTCCCTTTCTTTCTCCAGGGTCACTGAACTGAGTCTCCGGAGGCTTGGGCTTGGGTTTCCGGAGGGTGCCGGAGGCGGTCTTCCTCTGGTTTTCCCCGGGGTTCCGCTCCATCCATCCATCCGTCCGTCCATCCGTCCATCGAGGTTTTTTTTTGTGGTTGGGGGGGGGGGGTGGATCTTGTCAATCTGGGGCTAGCCGAAAAGGTGAACCCCGGAGTACTAACTCATCGTGTAACTTGTCTTGCTGGTGCTCAGCAAGGAATGACCGAGTCCGGGTTTTGGGAATGAACCGTTTTGGGATTCCCTCAAAGGAGGGGTCTTAGGGGATTGGGCTTTTGGTGAAAGGCCCGTTTTGGCAACCACCTAGTGTGGATGGACGAAATCCATTTGAAACCATGGTTGAAACCAGAAGGTTTGTTGGTATTTTACGTTACGGAATATGATTCATTCCAGGGTTTTAGGTGGCACGGCGCGGCATGGATTTTGTTTAGACCTGTTTGGGACTCCCTTAAAGAAAGCGGTTTACATCGGGGTCATTCCATTTCTCGTTCCCTGAGGGAAACCAGCAAGTTTTTCAGGGTCTTGGGATTCCTCAAGGTGTTCCTGGATTTGCGGGGGGGGGGGGGGGTTCTTGCATTTTTCAGGTTTGCCTTTTGAGTTTGAAGCGGTATACATGGATGTCCCCCCGTGGTAGTGTGTTTTCCCTTTGGAATCCCTTTCAGCCGCAAAAAGAGGGCCTGCAAAAGCGGACGCAGCCCGCCTCGCATAAGGTTGGTACCATCCCCGAGCACGCGCTAAGCAGGCTCTGAGCTTCCTGAAACACCCCTATCAATAGGATGGGTTGATTAATCCGGGGTTAGCGTCTCTTTGGGAAGGAGTGACGTTGACGCGCCGTTCTTCTGCCTTTTGGCCTTTTCGTTTCTGCAGGTGCAGTCTCAGCTGGTTTCAGTGCAACTTGGGCTATGGTCCGGAGTGATCGGCGGGGGTTGCGACAAGTAGAACCCGGCTAGGAAGTTTACTGGGGAATTCGGAATAAGATTCTCCCGAAGAATTCGTGGACATTCAGCCCCTAAAGTCCGTCAAAGGGTCCCACATTTTGTTTTAACATGTGATGGCATTGAGGCCGACCGCTCACCGATAGACTGGTCGCCGTTGCAGAAGCTTTAGATGGTGCACCCGAACCGCCCGTGGACTCACGGCGATTGGTAGCGCGAGCTCACCGAAGGTCCTTTTGCTTGGAGATCCATGTCTCATTTCAGGTTTTGGACATAAGGGTGTACATTTTTTGAGGGTACCCTTTTTGGTGGTTTTAAGGGCACACCATTTTTTGTTTTGTTTTTTTGTTGGGGGTCGCCTGAAAAAGACACACCCATATTGCTAAGCAAATGCAGCACGTCAGCCGTGTGGCCGCCCGAGTTGACTGTCACAGTTCCCAGGAAACATCCAGGTCCCGTGAACGCTACCTCACTCCCTGGGTTCCATTGCAAACAGACTTCAATTTTCGTGGTAATGCTGACCCAGGATTAATAACCCCCGGTTTATTAATATGGGGGTGTCCCTGGTTTTAGTGGGGATTTATGACTTTTGGAGGGGAACACCCCCATATTAATAAACAGGGGTTTATTAATCTGGGGTCAGCATTAAACAAAGAACAGTTTTTGTTGGCCGATCCACTCAGGAAGCGATTTGCGACGTGACGCAACCCTCTGACACGTCGCGGCTGTCGACAGATTCATTTGGTGCATTGTTCGGG